TTATTCTAGCCGATTTTTGTTAGTCTTTTAATAAAAAAAATTTATTCTATATTTATTTTTCTCCCAATTATTTTAGCAGACAAATTTGCTTGCTAAACCAAGACGGTTTAAGGGATAGCATAAGGGACAGAGGAGGTATTAGTGATATTAGTGATATAAGGGCTATAAGAGTTATTAGAGGCATTTGTAATGGTTAAGACATTTATAGTTCAAGGGCCATATATAATTATTAGTAAAGGTTTTATTAAATAAACGGGCGAGTTTCGCTCCACTTTGTAAGGCATGCTTGCCATAGCATTTTTGTAATTAATTATATTCTTAATAAAGGACACTCTTTTTATTGATTCTATAAAATTACAATCATGTACTCTTTTGTAAATTGCTAAATTACACTATAACTAAACCCTCTCGCTTGTTTATATACTTACAACTGTAACATACCACTGCACAGTTTTCATGTCCCTGTGTTCACATAACCTTGTTATTAGCCTCATTTCTGAGAGGTATTCGCAGGTTAACAAAGGAAATTCCCGGTCGGAGTGCTTTGAAACATTGGCGTTAAGTAATTCCTGCTGACCCTAATATTACAAACTTATTTAATACAGAAATCACAAAATTTACAAAAGTTACAGTAATTCAATAATAATTTTTGTCATTGATAAATCTCTATTAATATAGTCAACGAACTAGCTTCTATGAATTTATTTTTAAACATGTCAAACCAACTATTCAAAGTGATACATGTTTAGAAAAACAAAGTAGAACACAAACGAAAAAATGCAGGTCGCCCGAAAAAATTTAGGATTATGATACTAATGATCATAGTGTGACTTGCTATTATTGTCTGAAATATTGGAGCTGTGGATTGATAATGATGGTCGCAAAATATAAAAAGTTCAAATATGGACGATAATACAGACTATTTAATAAATAGAGTGTTCGAAATAAATGGTGAATTCGATTTGTAATTAGATTAATAAAAAGTTTATAAATTCTAATAATACGTATGTAAAAAATTTAGTACAATGGCAATAGATCGACATTTATAATATAGATAATACAGTATAATGCTTTTTATTGTACATATATAATTTAAATAAACTTGTATATACATTATGGGCCTTGAATAATACAATAATTATTAAAAATGCAAAATTGTTATACAATTAATTTTTAAAGATTCTCAATTTTACTATATCATTTTTTCCATATATGTGTATGTAGTGTAATTATTCATGCATATGTTGATTGGATTGTGTCGACTTTGTGCTGTAAGTGGTTTAGATTGTACAACTTTTTTGTAGTTTGTAACATCTTTCTGCAGAAGATTTTCAGACAAAATTTCCTCCTAATTCCAAGAAAGGAAATTTTCATCCGTCATTTTTATAATATCTATGGATTCATAATAGCGAGTACAAGTACAAGTGAAGGTACAAATAAAGGTACCAGAAGAATTATTTGCTTTCGTTTTAAAAAAAAAAAAATCATGATCCAATACAAATAGTAATGAAAGGGCTTCACATTTACCATGTTTTTGGTCTTTGTCTAGATTTAAAGGTGTATTTCGGCAGGTTTTTTGTTTTTTTTTTACAGGAATTTTTACAGGATAGATGATTTGATAATCATTGATCATCAAAGACCAGATAAATGTTCGTTCATAGTGAAAACTTTGCGACTTTTTTGTAAAGTTATTCATTATTTACTTTAAAAAAAAATAAAAAATAAAAAATTAAGAAATTAAGAAACTCTGAGTTCCTACTTGAAAACTAGTAAAACCTGCTATGTCGATCTCGATCCCATACGATGATTATACCAAATTTGCATTTTTTTTGTCTACATACTTGTATTATTTAATATTTAAAGATTCTCAATTTAATTACCATATCATTTTTTTCGTGTATGTGTATGTACATTAAGCACTCTAATATTTTGTAACCCATAAAGATAATACAATCAATATCTAAATATAGTATATAAATAAATTAAATTAATTAGATAAACGATTTTAGCCTTGTGACTATTTTAATTTGTATTTCAAAGATTACATCCTTTTAAAAATAATTCTTTGCTGTTCTAAAAAAATAATTTCTATATAAAAACATCTTCATGCCATATAATATAAACTGCCGTCAATAGAAATCAGAGAAATTGATATTCTAAAAAAAAATCAATATCATAGCTTTTGCTCATTCTCAGTAAATTTTAAAGTGAACTTCATAAACTAATGTTGAAAAGATATTTTTAGATACTATTTTGTTATAAGTTTCACTAAGATATAAATTATAAAAAGCTAATATATTGATTTTTTTTAAGACGTCAATCCCCTTGATTTCTATTAACGGCAATTCATACATCGGCTAATTTTATGACAAAAATTAGACTTGAAATAATGCGTATGGGCATATTCGAATAATGTGCAAATGATCAAAATAACATGTATATTCTCATTATACTGTATACTTATTATCTCAAACTCTTTGAAAAGACCAAAAAAAACCATGTTTTTAAAGAAAGCTTCCTGATTAATTAATTAATTAATAATAATCAAAAAGATATTATAGTGAATAAAAAAAATCTATATAATAAATATTCTCATACTGATATTAAATTATGAATTATATGAATTGATATTTTTTCATATTAAAAATCATAATAAATTATATAAATCTGATAAATAGTCATATTTTTTTCCTCGTTCATTTTTTTTCAATTCTCTCAAAACAAAACAAACCAAAATCAAAAAAAAATGCCAGCTTCTGTAATTGTATTATGTTATATAACAAGTTACCAAAAAAAATTAGTTCCTAATAAGTCTTTTGATTGTCGAAGCTTTAGGTATTGTAAGATCCCGAAGTTTAGACTCCCCTTTGAATGTTATTTTAACTGGATTTTATTACTATGATACTATTCAAGAATTAAATTTACTTGAAGATAAGGATGTAGTGCTTTCATATCTCGATGAATTCTAAGCTATTTTAATAATTCAATTTGAATATTAATAAAACATCGAACTAGCTTCAAAATCCATCGAGATATCGACTACAAAAGTTAATGTTTTTGAAAATCTAATCTGCCTAATTTTTATTAACAACGGTTTAGGTTAATTTTTTTTTTTTTCTTTTAACAAAAAAGATTACCTTGAACGATGTTGTTCATTTTGATACCCTTGATCCTAACAATTTACCTGTGTTCCCAATATTAATTAACATGATAGCGTTAGTACAAGAAGATTTGGAAATCGATAACGAAGATATAGTCATTAATGTTTTGACTAAGAATTATGTTGACCAAGGTTATAATAATCTTAAATTAATGTGTTATCATCCTACCTCTGCGCAATATTTGACGAATACAACAGCTATTATAAAGAAAGATTCTGTAATCTATGTTAATAGAGAGCTCATGATTACTGATGATGATAACATAGTTCATATACGAAATGTTTCATTTCCAAAATACCAAAAATTAAATATGATTACAAAAAGCAGCTTAGTGCAATTTTTATAGGAATCAAAAGATCAAAATGATACAAATCAGCAAAATGCCCTCACCATTGCTCAAACTATAGCCACAAGAGTCAAAGGAAGCACCCGATGTAAAAAAACTGCACCTAACCTTAAACCGTATCTTAAAACCAATTCTTGCCCGAAAGTTACTGATTTGGCGAATGACCTTTTAAACAAACCTTCAAATTCAAGCACACCTAATCAAACTGTTACTGAATAGATAAGTATATCATTATTTACACATGTCTCAGTATATACTTAACTTAAAAATATTTGTCTTATTTTTTTTTTTTTTCTTCTTTTGTAAATAACAATTAATATTTGATACCTTTAAATACTATAAATATTCGTATCAGTGTTTTTTTTCTTCAAACAGTTTTTTAACACATTATATATACTTATCTGATATGTATTACATTTCTTATTTGCATATAATATATATTTGTGTTTATATAAATAACGAATAAATTTTCGTATATCTAAGATTATAAACATAACAATCTTTAATGTTTGACCAGGCCATAATAAAATTTAAATTATAAAAAGGAAGAACCAAAATAACTAAAGTTGAAACTTTAAAGATTAATCGAAAAAAAAAATTTTATTAAATTTTTTAAATAGATATCATCATTATTGTAACACTTGAACATCGTCACAGTTATTTTTATCAGATCAAATTTATTCAAATGCTTAAGATCAGACACTTAAAAATTTCAAAACCTCTTCTAGACATCAATACCAACAATCACACAAATTCTTATTGAAATATTTAATAACCATATCTTAACTTTAAAAAAAAAAAGGCTAAGCCTCACTTATATAATACAGATTCATGATCTATAACTCACATCCTTGAGAATTATTTAAACTTATTTAGACCAAATTGACAATTTTTCAAAAGAAATTTTTTCACATAAATCAATTCAGAATAAAATTAAAATCATTTTCATTTAAGACACAAAAGTAGTTGCATTAATAAAATTTTACTGTGTTGCTCTTTAAAGTTTGCATTTTCTTATGATTTATTATAAAATTAATAACAAAAAATTGATTTACCGAAGATCTTTTGTTTTGTCAATTTAGTCCCTTTTTACAGCACCTAACCCAAATATATACTTAAATAAATGTTTGCACATCTTTGCTATATATATTCAACAATGCAAAAAATAATATATTAAATATCAATATATACAAGATATTTAACTTCCTAATACGGTCGTAAATATAGTTATTAATAAATAATAATAAATAATATTATATAGTTAGATTATCATTACAACTTCACTTAAAACAAGACTACTAAATTGCATTAATACTTCACAAATTATAAATACCACACCCGAATTCTTACTATAATTTAGAATCAAATCACTTGATAAAAAAAAATTTTAAAAAATCAAATACCTTTGATAACCCGAATATTTTTGACTTGAATATGTCATTTCACGTACATAGAATTCTTGAAATCGAACCCTTAGAATTCAATGAAGAAATAATTGATCTAATATCTAATAACAATAATTCACAACACTCTGACCATCAATCCAACAAATCACCTTGTCCAGGATTATTTCCATGGATAATCTCAGAAAAAATGCAAACTTTAATAGAAAAATTCGAAAATACTATTCTATCTCAATTTCCATACATTCCTTGTTCTATTTGCTCCAGACTTATGTATCCAGAGAAATCAATGTGGATTCATCGAAATCCTAGTACTCTGTATCCACTTGAAAATTATAGATCACTGGTCATGAATCCAATACCACCTACAAATTATATTGCAGTATGTCACTCATGCAAGACAAACCCAACATGCAATTATTCACTGTACCTACACCCGATTCTACCCAAAATTAAATTAGTACCATTAAGATTACGCAAACACTTATTTCTTATCTTTCTCCATTGTTCTCTGGGTAAAACACCTGGAGCCAATCTATTCTCCGAATACAGAACACTGGTGGGCACTATGAATTACTTACAAAACTTCAACTCTCTGAATTTATATTTAGACTTATTAGACGCTTACCTTACCTCTCCAACTTCTACTTAATCAGCACTTCCTCCCTGGTTTGAAAACTCACTAATTAATGCTACTAATTGGTTTAAGGAAAATAATTCTTACATATGTTAATATTCGTTAATGATTTTACCAATATCAAATTCAAATCTCCAGTTTCCTGTAGCCGTCCATTCATCTGTCGATGAAAACACATTCTTATTTCGACATGGCGATATAGTAGTTCCACACCAAAACTTTCCTGCTGATATCCACAATGAAGATTCGAACTACCATCACTTAATAGCTGGATTTGTGGCCAATAATGATATAAACAAAATCTCAATCGCTCTAAATGATTTATATCTTAAATTACTACTTTTCCCGAATCTATATTCTAATGGTCGTGGACATTATCAAGATATGTGAAGTCAATTAGAAAATTTACAACGACGCCACGACACCCTCGGAAAATACATAAAATATCGTTTACTTTCCAAAGATCCCCAATTTCGACTACAACACTACTGGCCTGCATAAGCTTATCTACAACTAGAAAAATTCAGAAATTTCCAAAGTACTCAATGACTTATCTGACAATCTGCTGCTGATGAAACTCACTATCCGCCTACAGCTATTGAAATTATTGAACGCAGTACCTATACTAATAGTTGGCACTACAACGAGACAAAAACATCACCCATACTCATATTTATTTGTACAGGTGATGGTTACTTTCAAAAAAAAATATGCATCTAAACACAATAATCCACGAACTTGGCCTCCCAACAATATTCATAACATTAATAATGGCCGAAGGTTCATGGACTCACTTTCACAACATACTCACCAACACAGATAACAATGACCCGTTGCCAACCAACAGACTATTATATTCAACACTACACTTTGTCTACAGGCTACAAAACATCAAAAAATATGTTTGAAAAAATCTAAACATTAGTGAATGGGGAATCTACTCACACTTTTTTGACCGAATAGAATTTCAAAACCATGGAGTAGCATATCTGCATGGTGTTTACTGGACAACATCAAACATAATAGAAATGATTAATTCTAATGTAATTCGATCAACCCTTCCCGACCCTAATCTAGAACCAGAACTTTACCAAAAAGTCTGTAATTTTCATACGCATACATGCAATTTTAAATACGAAAGTCCAGCCCCACCAGGATCAATATGCAAAAAAGAATTTTCCTGTCCCATCTCTGAATACACATTCTATGACCCAAATAACTACAGATATACTTACAGATATCTAAAACTAGAAAATCAGTGGATAGTTCCATATCACGCTCCTACATTAATAATATGGAATGCTTATATAAATATCCAATATGTAACTAATAAAGAACTTGCCAGATACATAACAAAATATATAAGCAAATCAGAACCTATACACTTATTCAATGTCTGTGAGCAAATACACTACCGTGAATACATCCATGCCCGACGAATGGGTTCAATGGAAATAATGTTTCTACTGCTTGGCGATCGTATAGTAAATTTATCAATCCAAGTCCAATATCTAACTACAGATCCTCTATTTACACGATCAAAAGCAATTATTCTACTATACATGATAAACTCACTTTAAGATGATTCCTATTAGAATGATAAAATCGAAAAATATTTTACACGATCACCCAACCCTATATTTGATAATATAATATATAAAACCTACTTTGAAACTTATGAATTAAAATCAACTTGACCAAACATATCAAACAGAACGGTATACCAAGATAATCTCAGAAATTTTGTTGTCAAATGCAATAACCAAATACTCACACGTATGTGATCCTTACAAATAGAACATAGTGAATTGTTCTTTTATCAACAACTTCTACTAAAATTTCCATGCATATCTGAAAACGAAATATTAGGTGATTACCGAAATTATAGAGACCATTTTCTAGCTCGTTTCCCAACCGTATACCAATCTATTCAAGAACAAAATCAAGAATTTATACTAAGACAAACATCATATGCCTTAGATTAATTCAACACCCTATTGAAACAATAACTTCATCATTTAACTCAATCCTAACAACAGATATTCTAGATATAATAGAAATCCAATTAGACTCTATAAAAATATTATCGCGAGTCATAAACACTAACTCAACTATAAATCTACCACCAAGTCAATACCATTGTCAACAAACAATAAATAACTATCTAGGTCTACAAAATGGTTCGCACTATCCCTTCTTCTTTATTACAGGCTTAGCAGGCACTGGAAAATCCTATATGATATGCCTATTATTAGAAGATTTTCAAAGAACCAACCGAAACTACTTACTATTGGCACCAACTGGAATCGCTGCACAAAATATTGGAGGATCAACAATTCACTCTGCACTACGAATTATCCATGATGAATACGAATTCAGAACTCTCGCATTTCATAACTGTAAACTAAACAACTCACTTCTCCAAATAAACACTCTCATTATAGATGAAATATCCATGGTATCAGGCCAATTCCTAACATACATTTCTGAACTTTTTGAATTATTGCACAAAAACAATAACCCATTTGGAGGCATCAACATTATTTTAGTCAGTAATTTAGCTCAATTACCTCCAGTCACTAGCTTACCTGTCTACCAATCCCTATATGGAAAATCTTCTACCCACTATTTCTCCGCGAACTCCAAAGACAAAGCCAAGACACCCAATTCTATAACCTACTACAAAAAATAAGAATGTGTGAAATCGACAATACAATATGGCAAACACTGTCCCAAAAAACTATGAAACAATCAGATCATCCGAATTAAACACCACCCTCAATACCACACACATAATAGGCTACAGAAAAAATGCAGAATTAATAAACAGATTAATATGCACTATGATCCCCACCCAAGAAAACAAATTCATGATCTCAAATAGCATCGATGTCTTTAATAACAGAATATGTAATGACAAATCAATATTCTGAGAATTTAAAAACAAAACCAACCTACCAGAAACAATTAGAATCCAACCTGGTGCACAAGTTATGTTTCTCACCAATTCACAACATCAATACTGAATAGCAAACAGTACTATAGGTATCATCACAAACCTTGATCCTTAACTAAATCTCGTTTACGTAAGTTTCTGCGTCGAAGGAGTTATAATAAATACTTCATTCACCAAATTCACAAGCAACTTCGATATAAATAGCATACCTGCTAGTCGAACC